ACTGCTGTTCCTGAAACCACGCTTTCTTTCTTTGCGTGCACATTTGGGCGGTGTTATGCAAATCTTCGCACATCGTGACGTAGACATGTGGGGCGTGTTAGAACGAGCCGTTTTAGGTAGGTGTGGCTGACTCTTAACTTTTATAAAGAATATCTCTTTGGATTTGAGACTTTAGTCTTTGCAACTTTACAGATCTTCTTTATGCACCAAGAGCTTGTAACACTCCAAAGAGAAAGGAAAAATTGAAATTGCATCATATGACCCCTTTAAAACATTTATACCATTTTTAACAAGCTTAAATTTAATGAATGAAAATAATGACAATTTCAATTTACACCTTGAATACATGTGAGAGCACACATAATTATTTTCAAAAATGTTTTAAAATCAATCAAATTTAAACTAGTATATATAGTATACCATATATATAGCAAGTAAGTATATAGTAAACTATATATTATTCATATTGCTCTCTCTCTCTCTCTCCTTCATTTGGACAACTTTAAAGGCGATTTTCTCAATATTTAGATTTTTTTGCACCCTCAGATTCCAGATTTTCAAATAGTTGTATCTCGGCCAAATATTGCCCTATCCTAACAAACCATACATCAACGGAAAGCTTATTTATTCAGCTTTGAGATGGTGTATAAATCTCAATTTCCAAAAATTGACCCTTATGACTGGTTTTGTGGTCCAGGATCACATATTTAAAATCGTAACCAACTTTTTCATGTAATAAAGAGGTAAAGTAATCTAAATTTTTTTTTCCATGTGTTGGTTGAACCACATGACTTTGCTGGTCACAGGCCATGACTTTCATTTGACAGATAAACTTTTTTAAATATTTAGAATATTTCAAATTCAACTGTTTCACTGTTTTGTTTTGTTTTTCATAATAAAAGAGTAAGCCGAATTACTAAGCTTTTTTTTATTTTATTCTTTTAATAAAGCTTTTGTCAAATTGCAATTTATATAATCAATTTAAAATTTGATTTTTAAATGTATTATTTAAAATGTGATTTTTATTCATTCATTTAAAAAGCTCCAGGTTTGGTGTGCTTGTTTGCAGGGCTGCATAACTTGGCCAAAATGTTGTGATCAATATGTTTCAATATGTGTATATCAATATGAGTCTAATAATAATATTAATAATAATAATACTTATTATTATTATTACTGAATACAACTATTAAACAAAATAAGAAATATTACTATTGTAATATTTCACTGTAAAATGATTAATAAAGCATTTAGGAAACATGCAGCGAACACATTTATTCAATTAAATTGCAGGCTTATTGCAATTTCGGTTTTATCTTGATTAATCGTGCTCTGCTCCTTCATACACCCAAGAGTTAGAATATAATGACCACCGCACTCACCCATACAGACGGTGTCAGAGTCCGGCTGGCAGGGTCTGATCTCCACCTCGTCATCAGTACAGCGTGAGCAGGGCACGCAGGGTTTCCTGTCACTCCGCTCCTTTGAGTAAGTCCCTGGTTTACACCGCTCACATACAGTATTTCCCAGCGGCCCACAGGCCCGAACCACTCCGCTTCCATGCCCACACATGGAGCAGGTCGCGCACAGCCCACTTGTGCTGTTACCATCTCGCCACAGGAAGAAGCGCTCACCGCACTCACACTGGGTATCCTGAGTGGGCGTGCAGCGTGCCAGTTCAGGAATGCCGGCGGGGCAGCGGGCGCACAGACGACAGGCTGACAGACTCTCAGAGTCTGAGAACAACACACCTAGAAGAGATTTAAAGTCATTTTTATCAATAATACATAAATAAACATTGGCAAAACAACAATATTCACATCTAAGCATTTATTCAAAATAAAAATGAAAATGTATGTTTTGAAAACACTCACCATCTTGACACGGCTGACACTTGGTGTCTTCCTGACCACAGCTGCTCACCAAACCAGTGCCCGCAGCACACATGCTGCAACATTCGCCTGTTTTTGTAAACTGCTCAGTGGTGCAGACCTTTCCAAACGCCACCTGCAAAACACACAAGCACATGTCTAATTCAAATTATTCTTAAAAATTACATGCAATTTTGTAACATAAATTTGATCTTAGTAACCCAAAAGACCATTTTAAGAGTTTTCAAGCCCTCTCAGTCTCAATATATAACAGAAACATGAAGATATATTGATATTCAGCCAGAGAATTACATTCAAATAGCCTGTTGTGTGAAATAAGTTAAAAACCCTAAAAACAATATAAATGGTGATATATGGTATAAAGATTCACAGCCCATACACATAAAAAAAAAGATTTGTAGAATAGGCCTAATATTACGTTTTATATATA